TTTCTTTACAAGAATTCTTCTCATAAAAGAAACTAGAACATACTGCCAAGGTTCAGACAACTTCTGAAAATCCCCCGGGCGTAGTTTCGTTTTCTTTGTAAAACGAGAAGAATACTAACTTGAAAACATGAAGACTGGGTGACATAATATTTACCATAAACGAAGACAAGAAATGTTTATTTTACTCTGTGACATCACTTTACTTTAAAGTGAAAGGTTTGAACATGGGAGTATCGTTACATGTTTGTAGATGTAGATCGTCCAGGTTAGTAAAGTCCTGAAAGAACTGTTGTTGTTGATGCTGACTCTAAAGATGACTACCGCTAAGGTTGTTGAGAAGTCAGTCAACATCAACATCAACATCCTTCGCAGGACTCCACTAACCTCGACGATCTACATCTACAAACATCTACCACTTACTCGGCTATCTTCTTTAATTCAAGACTACAGTGTGTTACATCGTTGTCGACAAAGCTACAATGGAAAATAGGGAGAAAAGTTGTACATCGGAAATGAAAACCATGTCATCAACATAGAAGTGAACAAAAAAATTTCTAACAAACCGTTAAATTTCCAGAGCTCTACATACACAATTAAGGACAAATATAAGAAGAGAAAAAACACCGTCAATTTTTGTCAAAATAAAATTTCGTGTATTTTTTCAGTTGTACCTTAAATCCAAAATTTGAGTGGCTGGTGATATGATACTGGTCTGTGATGAAACGGTGAACATTAATTTTGATTATTAAAAAATTATCTACAATGCAATCGTTTGCAATCAATTTCTATATAGCTGCACACCTCTCTATTTAAGCAACATGTTTGTATAACTTGCACAAACGACTATATTGTGGTATGGAAATAAAACAGTAGACGTAAAGGTACAAAGTACTGAGAAGAGGGGATATACTTCACGAGGCAAATTGTTGTTTTATATTGTATATGATGACAGGTTGCGGTAAGCCATTTCGGCGTTCCTTTTGGCCAGAAAACATAATTGACCGGCAGCCATTTCGTTGATCACGTGCACAAGAAGACATAAGTTACATACAAACAAATAGTGCTGTTTCAACTATATTTTTTCTTATCCTGTGGTAAAAACATTGAATACCCTACCCTACAAGTTCCTCGATGCAAGAATGGTAAATTTTGTAAATAGCTTTGGCTGATGGCGGACCAAGATACTGTTTGATGTCGGCTCTGTGGGCGAACAAATAGCGAAGTTAGATGAGAAAGTGAATTAAAAACTTTCGAGTCACAAACATATTTTCAACCTGTCCACGAACGCAACGTCTATGGCTCTAGTTATGTTCGATGTTGTCAATATAATTACATTAGGATGTCTGAAATAAGAAGAAAACAACATTGGGGAAGACTAGGTTTAGCAAATAAACGCATAAATGTAGTTCAAATCAAGACTTCTGTAAATACGTAATTGATAGATAATAAGTATTTGACTGAGCAAAGTTGTCATCAAGCAAGTTTGTTCATGTCATATAAATATTTTCGTGCTTTTACTCCTGTAAAAGCGACAATATTGTGAAAAGAAATAATACATAGTTCTAAAGATAGCAAATACCATAGTGAATGGTAAATGTAATATAATAAGTTGATAAAGACTGTTGTCTTGGCATTATAAATATCGGTAGATTGTAAATTTTCATTCAGCAGACGTTGACACCTGAGGAGTAGTCTGCCGAAATGCATCGTGTCGTTTAATTTAGAACTATTGGGTTAGTGCTCTTTACAAAGAAAACGAAACTACGCCCGGGGGATTTTCAGAAGTTGTCTGAACCTTGGCAGTATGTTCTAGTTTCTTTTATGAGAAGAATTCTTGTAAAGAAAAAAGACAAATTTTGAAAGGAAAAAACCCCGTTTTCGGTCCATGCTTCCCGATACCTTCTTAAGCGTAAGGCACTAAAACGCGGCATGTTAACGTTTCGGTAGCAGATTTCGGCCCCTCCACGCTATCCTACTTGGGAGATGCAATAGCAAGCTTCCGCCCATCAGACCCCGAGATCACCTGCGATAGGCTTTGCTCGAGGTACGCAGGGAGAGTGCGGTCGCCACCGAAGTGTGGACCCCTAAGCCACTGCATACTATATCGCACCCAGCTTCCACTGATAGTTGACATCTACTATATGAAGCTATAGATTTATATTTATATATACAAAAATTTAGAGGCTTAAGAAAGTTGTGGTATTATTATAGTCACAACTGCGCATGCCCAGATAATTTCTTTGATAATTTGCGATTAAGTGGGATAATTGCCCCAGATGTAGTGCAAGTACATCTAGTTAGTCGTTGCCATGACTATAAACAATTAGTCGAGTGGGCTGCGCATGCGCTCGTGCGCATGCGCAGATGATTTCTCCATTAAATTGTTACTAAACATGCTATTTACTTCAAAATCGGGGCTAGTAGATGCAATTGGTCGTTGCCATGACCATGAACATTGGCAGCCAATCAATTTAACTGCGCATGCTCAGTTGATATCTTTAATAATTTGTTAATAAGCAAGTTATATACTCCTAATTGATGCTAGTAAATGTAGTTGGTCGTTTCCATGACTATCAACTCGGACAATTGGTCAAGTGGACTTTGCATGCTTGCTGCGCATGCCTACTGCGCATGCTCAGATGATCTTCTTATATTTTTGTGACGAAGCGATTAATTACTCAGAAAGTGATGAAAATAGGTCCAGCTTGTTGTTGCCATCACTATGAATATGAAAAATTTGTTAAATGACTAAATTTCTCATTATGATTGAAATATATGATTTCCCAATATGTGACCAAATGAACCACAGAAGGATGCAAGCTTGTTCTGTTTGTCATTGCCATGATTGTAAACTCGAACAGTTTGTTGAGTTGTTTGTGCATGTTCAGATGAGTTCTCAAATAATTTAGGACTGAGGTTTAAAATATACCGTCTTAATACTTGCAACATAAATAAAATTTAACTTTGTATTACATCTACATTTAAGGCGTAAAGATGTTTTTTCTTTGTTATCGTAGTCAGTAATTATCAAGTAATGGACCACTCTCAAATAATCACGAATATTGGTTGACTTTTGGTTAGGTTTCTTTGTGAGGCTCTTCTCCTTTTGAACTTGCAAGGAGCAGTCAAGCGTCTCACTGTGATAAACCTACGAAGTATTCTTTCTCTCATTTTCTTGTTTACAAAAAGTTATCAACTAAGTGGTCGAACTCTTCGTAAACTGCCATTCCTTGCACATGCGCTGTATTCGAAAGTAAGTAATACGAATTAAAGCCTTCACCCGTGTTCTTTGTTGTACATGCATGTACTTACATTGTCCCTCAAACCTACGTAATAGGCACAAACGATAACCTCAGAAGAGTTTTGAATAATCTTTCAATGATTGTTGACAAGCAGTTCAAAGAAAGAGAATCTTTGCTCAGTTGGTGAAGAAAAAGCGTGCAAGCGTGATCTTTTAACGATTGTATACTTTTATACATTCATAGAAATCTTTGGATATGCTTTGTTGAAGATTAAGATTTTTATTGCTCAATTTAAGTCAATTTGGTAAGATAGATCACAAAGTTTGCTAATTTATATTGGTACTTTGAGACTCCTTACATGACGTTTCCCAACACACCCGAGGTCAAATGCAGCAATGTGTATAGTTCGTTATTGAGGATAATGTGTAGATTATTTTAAATAGGGAAGGATATTTATACGATATAGTTAATTGTAACTGTTTAATTTCAACGTATGTTTACATTAAATTACATCCTTAAGCCAACTTTACTAATATTGATCGCTATTTTCATGTTATACATCTATAATCATCTTGTTAAAGATTTGAAGCTTTGCTGCGATAATACAGGTTTGTACTGCTATCTCATCTTTGTTTGTTGCCTATCTGATAGCATGTCAACTCCGGGGACCAGATTTTTTATCGAGATTTATATGACATTAGAGATTGTCGTACGTCAGTCTAATATCTTGAGCATGAACGATATGTTGTTGAAAGATAAGTTTACATATACTCTAGCGTAGTGTCTTCATCAGGAGTGATCGAATGTTGAAACTTGAGTCACAATATGCTCCAGTCTTATGATTTGTCAGGAGTGATCTTTTATTGAAAGTTTCGCTAATGTTATTTAACCACGTTATCTAAAAACTTTATCCTCCATATGCATGTGAAACATGTTTTTACAAATGCATGTGAAACTCGTCAACACTTTGTCACGGCATTCGTAATATCCATGACAACGTTAAAATGTTTTTATTTTCTCTACAACTTTATACCTGCATATTGCATGTCATATCCAAGCTTTCCTTTGATTTGACGGAAATGGTTTTATTCACTCTTACATCTTCTGCCTTTATAATTAGTCGATCTGTATTTCTAAACTAATATTTACAAGTGCCCCAAGAGAATCTTTTTAATTTATTGGCTCTCTTCTACAAATACAATACCATGTCCGACTATTTGATTGCACGAATTTTTTAATTTGATCACGTTTTTTTGACACGTGTGTTTACCATGGGAAAGATGGATTGCTTAAATGTACCTAGTTGTTTAGACTACTTGGATCCATAGTTATCCTGTAATGTATACTCTTGTGAAACACCAATGAGCATACGTAGTGTGTTTTCTATAACCTCTATTCTTGTTCTCCACTTCATCATCTATCCATATTTGTTCTTTTTTAGTTCTCAGCTCAACACAACCCTTGTCTGAAGTTCCTAAAACCTTCATCTACCCAAGAAAGATCTCTGGTGGTAACATGTTAGGTATGGCTAGTGGTTGGTCATCGTCATTGAGTCTTGTGACACCAGTTCAGTATACGTTAATTGTCCTGAAGACGTTGAGGAGGTTGCTAGTAAAGCGTCGCCTAAACCAGAAGGTAGTTTTCATGGTATGCTAACGGATTACGCAAACGTTGTTTGAAAGAAGTTCACATAAAATGGTTATGGTCTCGTTCCATCGTATTCTGAGAAGGTTTCATGTTCATCCTGAATCTTTCACCAATGTTACAAATACTTTTGAAATTGTCGTTTTAATGATTATTATTTTAGAGCATAGACATTGAAAAATCTTATGGTAGTGTACAGGTATTTTCAACATTTTGTTGAAAAATTCTCTAGTTTCAATTCTTCGAAATTTCTCATCTTAATTTTCACCTTTATTTAGAATCCTTTCGATACGAAAATCGTCGGGATTTGAGGTACTTTATACGATATATTGAATTTAAGTTTTATAGCGTTAATAACTCTCATCTGTTCATCGTAACTTTGCTATAATTCTATGGATAAATTATGTTTTTATATAACAGATTATTGATGATCCTACTTCACCTGAAGGTGTTCAGCAAGAACGACGTATGAAGTTACTGTCGTTAATTAATAATATAGCCCTTGATAAAGGGTTGGATGGTCGAAATTATTAATGTCATGGTTGTTTCAGACCAATTGGAATGAGTATGATCAATGAATTCTCGACTTGTTATTTCCTAATAACTCAAATATATTTATTTTCAAATTTCTTAGCTTAATAAATGTTATCTTTGTAGAAACGATTATAACAAAGTACATAATCCCTTTTTTCCGTGAAGCCCATGGATGCGTTCGTTCATGATGAAAGAGTCATATTGTATAAGGAGGCTCTCGTTCATCACGAGAGTTATGATAAAAATACGTTGTAAAGGTACTAAGTAAAAATATATAAACATGCTTAGTGTTTGTTTAAATTATAGTTCAAAAGGCAGAAGTTGTTTGAAGCTTTGAAGTATCCTTGGACGTTCTAGTTTTTTTTATGAGAAGAATTCTTGTAAAGAAAAAGACAAATTTTGAAAACCAAAGAATCCCGTTTTCGGTCCATGCCTCCCGATACCCATAGATAGTTGATCACTAGAGCGTCGCTTGTTAACTAAGGGAACCACATAATCCTTGTTTGTTTTCCATGAAACATATGGATGGTTTGCTCGTGATACATGAGAAACAATGGGAGAGTTAAATCAGAAAGATATAAACCGATAAAATTGGTATAAAACATGTTTAAGGTTGTCTTTAATTATAAGTGTCAGAAAGACAGGGTCATAAGAAGTTAATTGAAACATTGCTTGGTTTGTTTTATGAGAA